ATTCCTGTCTCACCATGAAGTACAGGGCACAGCCCAATGTAAACTGAGCTCTAATAATAACTGCTGAAGAGCAGTTACACCAAAGGCACTGAGAAAACATGTTTGTGCTTGATGCACTGTAGGAATTATTTACTAATAGTTCAGCCCCAAGAACGATACTATGAGAACATCAAAGAGCTGCTCCTCAAAAGTATTGTGCACCAGTTAAAGCTGCTGAATGATTAATCCTCTAAAGGCTTCTGACTCCCTCCCTTTCCTCTTCTGCTAATGCACTATTGCAACAAGACACTTCTAGTCACTGTTAACACCCTTGATTACCCATGCAAAAACCCCAGTAATGTAGGATATAATATCCCTACTACCTTCTGGCAGATCAGAGTTTTGGCAAAAATGTGTGAAAAGAAGCTGTGGATGAAATAAGGCATTTGGGCCCAGACCAAAGCATGTGACACACTGTCAAAGAAACCGATGCACGTGTAAGCATTTCCTTTCTTATCTACTTGAGTTCAGAATCTGAGCCTTGGGCCTTCATTAACACTCTCAGTACGTGGCATTTGTTCTCTAATTAGATGGTAAGATGCTTAGGGGAGTGATGAAAATTTTTTTCCTTGTTGTTATTTTATAAATTCTGTCTGTCCTCAGAATTCAAAATGAGATCATGATCTCCAACCAGTCCTCCCCTGCTTTTATCAGTGAGAAAGAGACTTTAACAGTTCTTTTTCTGGTAGCTTCAGAAAATGTCAAACAGAAAATGACAAACCAACCCAATGATGGGGCCCTCTGAACGCCTGAGCTTTCCAGCTCTCCAGGCAAAGGCTGTGAGTCACACACTGAATCCATCAGCCTTGAGAAACGTCATGGAACAGGATGCTACAGCTTTGCATGTGCTGGTGGGGAAAGGGAGAAGGGGCTGGGGGAGGGAATTGGAAAGGAAGTCATGTCCTGAAACTGCCCCCCAGTCAGGAAGTCAAAAGTTCTGTGGAGATTCAGTGGACATTTTCTAACACATCTTCAAATACATCTCATCTTATAGCTCTGATATCCATATGCACGGGGCATGTACAGCAATGTGATGCTGTGACTCCAGGAGATGGGGGATGGGAGGAGTATTGACCTGGAAGTTATGAATGAGTCCATCCAAAGAGATTTGAAAGACACATATTTATGCAAATCCTAGTATATATTTGTCCTGTCCCGAGAAGAAAGGAAGCAGATGGAAGCATGTTTCTCCTAATTTACTGACTACTTTCTCACACGCCCCCTCCACACCCTAAGGAAGATATTTCTATAGAATTTGTATAAAGAAAACCTGCAGTTGGGTTCCTCACACGCTGCCAAACATCTGGCAGCTTTTGAAAACCTTCAATTCAGCATCAGCTTTGCCAACTGCTTCCTTTGCAGGCAAAAACTTTCCTCACCATCCCTCTAGAAGAGGAGCAGCCTTTCCACAAGTCAGGCTAAAGGAGAAGAAAAGCACATGTGATTTCATGTACCAGATCCTCCAGAATTTGGGACACAGATAATATTGTCTCCAGCATCTGGTGTGCATTGAGATTATCAAGATTTTCTTCCAAATGAGTATGATCATTCCCAATTCCCTGGTCTGTTTGTAACCCAGCTACAGAGGTACATGAATAATGGACTCAACTGCCTTGGAAGCCTATGAGGCAAAATCCTTTTCTTGGCTGCAGCAGAAACTGGCTGTGGAAATGCAGAGTAACTGCACCACTGCCTTAGAAAGCCCACAAGGATGGATGGCTGCTGAGAGCAGCTCCAGGCACCGCCTGTCCCACAGGTTGAATAACCGACTGAACTGCAACCCTTTCTAAGGTCAGGGAGATGTTTTCTGGGCAACTTGGCTGCTTTGCAGAAACTGGTGTCTCAGATTGTGAAGTTATTAGGGGTAGCAGTTTTAGGAGTGATAATCTCTGCTCTTCTTGCAGTCAGTTGTTTGATTACTCATTCCAGGCAGCTGCTGCCATGAAACGTGAAAAGGTACCATTAATATAAAAACTTGCCTGAGCAAACTAGCTGGTAAGGAGAAGCAGCAATCATTACTGCACCATCAAGATTGTCTACTCTGGTAAATCATTGATTCCACTAGAGCTACTCATGATTTGCTTCAGACATGAGAAGTGTATTTTTTTCAAGAGAAGCACAGATTTCTTCATATTTTTTTGCATTCAAGATGGTGCACTTAAAATATATTTATCACATCAGATTAAAAGGCTTCCAGAAAAAGTCCACCATTGACTAAATAGAGTTTTTCCATACAGACATTTTAGGTAAAATGGAAAGAAATGTCAATGAGATGTGTGTCTGTAGGAGGAAACATTAACTGTCAGTTGCCCAAAAATAGTCTTCCATATCTTCGACAGAAAACAAGTTTTTTTACTCTTGAATTGGAACAGAAACATTTTTGCAAAGATTTTAATTTCAGTTTTTTGAGAGCCAGGAACAAGATTTTCAAGGACAGCATAAAACCACTTTGAACAAGGGTTTAAAATAGCCATTTTGAGGGTATTGTTTAAAATGAGCTGTGAATTCACAGCCAATTAACTAAAACATGTTCCTCTTAAATGAAATTTCCTGTGTACACAATCCAATCATACCTCTGGGACAAGATATACACTCAGTAATTAATCACAACATTACTCAGCCTTTTTGGTGTTTACCACCTTCCTTCAGGCAATGAACTCCAGAGCCAGCGAGATAAGCATCGAACAGGAGCAGAACAGAGAACAGGCAGGAGCCTGCAGAGGAACTGAATGCATTACCTGAGGATGTTCCACTGCCTTTATGTTCATACTTGAAACAAACAAACAAAAAAAACCAACGACCCAGAAAGACTCTGTTTAAATCCATGAAGAAAAAGAATAGACTCTGCTGTGTTGACACCTGCCTCACATTTAGCAGTGTACACAAAATATTTTCCCTGCATTCATTCAATCAGAAGGGGAGAACACAGGGAATTCATTTCTCAGTGCATTGTATGAGAACTTAAACACGTCATTCACCCTGACTTCAGGTCAAATATACCAAGGAGAACTTGCTCCTCTATTGTGTTTATTGGCATGCCAAGACTGCATTTCAGACTCAATGCCAGTCCTATTTCCTAGGAATATGTGCTGTAGCTAAGCTAATTCTCAGTGGGCACCTCCTGCTACTCTTTACTCTCATATAAATCCCACATCACTCTGAGTTAGAGAGTAGAATTTAGCCCCTTTTTCCAGCAATCAGGCCTTTTAGTAGGGTATGAAGGGCCTTTCACTCCTCTCATGCTGTGGTAAGACACAGATTACTTCATTTAGATCATTGTAGAACCTAATTTCACATTAGTTTAAAGAGCTGATGGAAGCTCCAACAGGTGCAGTTGATGGAGTGGAGATGGAAATCCAGCCCATCACTGTTGAGAGCTATCTAGGGACATCAGCTTAAGAGGAGTCTGAAGTCAGAAGTCACAGTTCTTGTAACTTAATACAGTGATAAATAACACTCTGTTGTTGCTCATACTCAGATAAATGTAGAATGAGACCAGTGTGGCCAGTGTGTTTTCGTAATTCCAGGCAGACCAGGTTTTTGATGAGCAATTTGTTTAAACCAAACTCCCCATTTGAATACTGTCCTTCCCTGGGGAATACACTAAGTGTGCATCCAGACATTAGTTCTGCAATAGAGATACATCTCAAAACATTTGCAAAGCATAAAATCAGTTTGAAAACTGATGGTATCCCGTGCACATAATGGAAACTAGGGGGTCTCTCCAGCTGTTCAGCAGACTTTGTAACCGAGTCTGTCACTGTGCTAACCCTGGACCTCTTATGCTTCCTCACTGCAACACCAGGGTTCCACACCTTGGCAATGCTTTGGTGTTCAGAGCCCTGCATCAACTGTACCTGGTGTTTGTAATCCTGGGGCAGGGAAAGATAAAGTCTGGCTGAGGAGTATGCAAAACTGCACTTGAGATGGGGCCAAGCTGCAGTCCTGGAGCTGCTGGTGCTGTGCAGCCTGGGTTCTGACCTTCATTTCAAAGCTGTATCATTGCATAAACCAGCTGTGCTCTGACAGTTTTGGGGTGTACCTTGCCTTAAGCTAATAAAGGCTTTCAGATAACATAGCTTAAAGACTTCAGTCAACACCATATCAGGGTGGATAAATAGAATTAAGAATAAATATTCTTAATTCAAAATGCAATCAGTTGATCTGCAAAGTAAAGCAAATTATACTTGTCGCCCAGGGATCTGCAGTGTCCCTAGAAGGCAGAGAACTTTGACCAAAAGAAAATTTTGAAACTAGTCAGGTGTGAATGGCATTTCAGAGGAGTTTGTGAAGCTTTTTTCTACAAGCATTTTCCCACTATTTAAATTAAAAAACATGCTATTAGTTCAACTTCAATAAATACATTTACACTGCTGATTCTGGAATGTCAGGAGGAACAATGGTATATCCATTTGGGTCACAACCTGTAATTCTATATGGTTAGCTCTCACCAGTTTAAAGAAATGACTGAGTGTGTTGGAACTGTTCACTTTGCCTAGTTTGTGCATGTAGACAGTGGGCAACTGTCACCCAGTTTTTGCAATGACAGGCCCATCCTTGTCATAACCTTCTGTTGAGCCACTTATTAATAATATCACAAATTATCAGTACTTCAATTGATACCACTATTCACTGTCCAGGACTTAGCATTTTTTTAATAGAATTGTCATATGATGGTCAATGGTCTCACCTTTGTTTTGCAAATGCATCAGTCTGTGCTTTGATCTCGTTACTGTCAATTACACAATGAAAAATGCCATTTCTGAAAAGTTTGTCTTTTAAGAACCATTACAAATATACATTCAAATGTATAATGTTTTTATTTCTGCTTTCTTGGGAAAAGGGGCAAGACAGGGGGTGACACTGCTTGGCTTCATCAGAAATCAACAATCTTATGAGTACCAAAGCAAGCAGCAAGAAGATCTCTTGTCATTAAACTAACAATTGATTCTTTATCACAGATCTATTATTATTCAGGAGGCCAGTCTTATTCCTATGGAGTATTTAAGAACAGGATAACACCTGCAACAGGTCCAGGGAATGCATCAATAACAATCTCCAACATGCAGCCCTCAGACACTGGTTCCTACACCTGTGAAGTTTTCAGCCCTCAGGGCGATGCTGGACAGAGTCAAAAATCTGTGATTGTCAGTGTGCTGGGTAAGTGCCTTCCCTCTCTGTGGCTGTGTCGTCGTTTTCTTCCCATGTTATGAAACACTGCTCAGAACACGTAGGGCCAGAGGGAATAACAGAACAGAACTGTGGTAAACAAGGCCCGTGATGCAGAGAAAAGGCTCCCAGATGCACTGACGCAGATGCTTTCCAGGGCTCTGGAGGCAGGCAGAGCCTGGGTGCCCTCTAGCTTCCAGCCAGAGAGGACCTGCTGCCACTCCACAGCTACCCTTGCCTGACCTGCAGCCAAATCTCACTCTCTCACCAGGGGCCTTCAGATTCACTTTGTGCTCCCAAAAACTTAAAAACTCAATGTGAGCAGGTAAGAGCATAGCTGGACTTACCCAGCTTCACTCAGTTTTTCGTGTTGGAAAACAGACTGATACTAGCTTTGATTAAAATAAAACACCCTTTTAACTGGGAGGAACAACCTCTCTCTGAAATCATTAGATGCAGCCCCAGAAAAGACCAAAACTTCACTAATTTTACCTAATGTTGGTCATGGTGACTTGCATAAATCTAGGGAGAGGCAGTAGTACAGCCCAAGAGTTCTGGCTCACACCAATTCCCAAGAGCTCTGGAAACTTAGGATGTGTTGGATGGAAGTAGTAGAAAGTGTGTTGTGGATGGAAAAAAGCAATAGTTTGAACATGAACAGGCAGGACAGAAAGGATGAAAAGCAGTGGAAAGAGATATTTTACGTCTTAATAAGATAAAAGTTTGTACTAACCCCATCTAATCACTGATGAGGATTCATACAAGGTCAGACTGACAAATCACAGTCATAAAAGGACATAATTCTAACCTCACTTGCCTGTTTTCCAGGGATAAGAAAAAGATATATGTAAACTCATTCTCTAAAAAATCAAAGTACCACAGATAATTCTCATCTAAAATTCCCAAAATAAGTAGTAAATCTTGGAGCAGTTGAGTTAGAGATTGCACTTTTCACACAAAACCCAAGAAAAGTTGTTCATTTATGCACACAAAATTGGGCTGAACTTATTGATGGTATAGTTTCCCTGACAGTGCTCAAAAGAATCACAACAGCATTTCTGTGGATAGGAAATGAAAAACAATAGGTGTAAGTGAAGACAGAATCCTACCTTGTGTGAAAAGTGAGGAAATGAAATCAAAACAGATATATTTTTTAACAGAACTATAGTTGATTTATTTCTTCCACAGCTGTAATATACTGAAGAATCAAGCCTTGATCCTCTCCCTTTCTGTGGAAAAGCTCGTGCCATGTCCCTAAAAAAAAAATGATGCTCTGTGTGGCAGAATGGTGTATCACAAATAGTGAGTGGCCCATTATAATGAAAGTAATTGATAGTCTTTGTCTCAACACCTCCAAAATAACAGTTAGTATGCAAACTGTATCCTAGGCCATGTATATATATTTAATATTACTCATTTTTTTATCGGAGAGGCTTTGGTCAGATCCATAAATAAGACTCTGATCATGGATGGAAATCTGTATATGGGGTTCAGTTCTTAACTGAGAATTGCAGCACGGTACCAGAACTCGAGGTGGATTATTGCAGCCCCAGCTATGTACTCATGATGTGTCTCTCCTCCTCATTGTTATTTTACAGTCAAACCATCAACACCTTTCTGCAAAGTAGAAGGAACACCTGAAAAAGGGCATCTGATCTACCTCCTGTGCAGATGTGAAGAGGGATTGCCTCATCCCACCTACCGCTGGTACAAAGTCGAGGAGAACACCCTGAAGCCTGTGACTGAACAATTTAGTGCGTAACTACAGGACTGTTGTACTGTGTCCAAGATCTGAAATTCCCTAGTACCAACATTTCAAACACTGTGTATCACATAGGCTAATTAAAATTTATCCTCCTCTGATGGTGAATGTCACAAAATCGTATTTTTATTTATTCAAGTTGGCCAACAGCTGTCAAAAACAAAGGACACTTTTCCTATTTAATAAAAAAATGTGTGGCATGTTGAAGTCTTATCTATGCCATTACTTTAAATTGTTAAAATGGGAGAAATATTTATGCCTTTGCAGAATCCACTGGAGCAATTTTCAAGGACGATAAATGGTTTTTTATTAAAAGAATATAAAAAACCCCCAAATAACCAAATAATCAGAGAACCCCGTTTCTAATCTCTGAATAGCTCTCAGTGTTACCAACTACAGAGAACTGTTTGCCTCTACAGAATACAAACAGTAACTTGTACCTGTTCCCTGTTTGTCACAGATCCAAACACTGGCATTCTTTACATTGGCAATCTCACCACCTTTGAAACTGGCTATTACCGGTGTGTAGCCAGCAACGTCCTGGGGAACAGCACCTGTGAGCTTGACCTAACAGCAAAACGTGAGTTTAATGCATGAAAGTAGTCACATCCCTGATGTAGGACATGCACAGCTTGCAGGAGAATGCTCTAACAGCTCTGAAGCATAGATTTATTTTTTTCAAGTAAGAACAGAACAGGATTTGGAGAGCTCCGGAGTTTTCATCCAGACATGCCCAGAATTTACACTGACCTAGAAAACTGGTTTAACATCTCCAGCTTAAGTCCCACAGGGAGCAGGAGCTGGACCTGGTTCTGACTGCAGAGCCTTTACTGAGAATGGACAGGCATGGAGTTTTGAGCAATGTCTTCCAGCCACCAGTCTCACTGAGGTCCCCTTAGCCCAGAAATTAAAACCATCACTGAAACGTGGTAGTACAAGGACTGGAACACTGCAGATGTAACCACTGGCTAAAAATACTGCAGTCACAGAAAAACACCTTATCCTGAGTGTTCTCAAGCACTGGTCAACCACACCTGCATGCATATTTTTCACAGAAACAGTAATATTTAACAAGAGCCAAGCCTATGTTGTACAACCAGCCATGAGAGATGTCCATGAAATGGTCACTCAATGATTCAGTGGACTATGAAATGAAAATAGCAGGTCAGAGCTGGAAGCTGCACTGGAGTGGAAATAAAAGGCTTTGGAGGCTCACAAATGATCAAAGCACACATTTTATATCTCGGCTGAAAGGCAGAAATAAAGGCAACTTGAATTTCAGAATGTGTTTGCAAGGACTGAAGAGCAAAGGCTTTTACCTCCTGTCAGTGTTACAGCCTAGTGTTTCCCATAGCCAGACACAAAGAGAGAGTTTGTTGGGATAGGGAGCTAACCAACAAGAAAGGAGGCAACAAAGGTCACATAAGCATAATTCTCACTTTCCTTTAGCCTCCCCCTGGAAAGAGTTCTTAGAATCCAATGCCTTCTTTCTGCTAAAAGCTCTTGCACTAAATTTCCATGGGATTTTGCTATATTACTACTTTTAAAAGTAAAGTAATCTTTTTTTTTCTTTCCAGATTCAGACAGTGCTATTGTTGCTGGAGCATTAATTGGAGCAATCCTGGCAGCTGCTATCATTTGCATTATCGTCTGGGTCTTAACCAAGAAGGCAAAAAATAGGAAGTCTCCAAATAATGAGATGCAGTAAGAGTTTCTCTTTGCTTCATTTTAAGACAAATATTTCTATAAAGCACTCCTGGTAATCCAGAACTAAAGTGAAATGCAATTACTCTAAACGTTTTTGAAGGGTAAATAATACAAGTGTTGAGAAAACTTCTAGAGTGAGAACATTTGCTTTTGTGGGACTTTTCCCCTGTTGCTCTCATAACAGAAGTTGCCATTAACCCTCTTCCCTATGTTAACAGGCAGCTACCACTTAGCAGTATCTAAAACAGTGAAGTAAATGTTTTTAAACAACACATGCTAAAAGTGGCAAGTTAGAAAATCAGCTCTTAATATTTAAAAGTTAATGGGGTCTGTGAACAGTGGGTGGAGGGAGTAAAAAAGAAACAGCAGCTAAGGGTTGCCTCAGCAAACTTACCAGGATTTAACCACAGAGGGCTCATTTCAGTGCTATCTGAAATTACAGGACACACACTTGGGATACTCCAAGGCATCTCAAATCACAGGAAACACAAGGTTTAGGCAACAGAATGGAGCCCGGAACGTCCATTTTGATCCTGCTCTGGAGATGTTTTTTCCTCTGTGCTTTGGTTGTTCATTTTTACCTTAAATGGCCAAATCTTCAGAATAATCTTGTGTGCTATACAGAATGTATTTAGCCCCACGATGTTAAATGCTAAATGAATACATGCAGCTGAGGCCAGGAAAAAATTGTTACTTTCTGGAGCACAGGGCTATGACTTCCTGATATGGAATTCTGCTAACCCAGACCAGTGGCCAGTCACTCATGCACCTCATTTCTGCTTTCAACTGATGTAGCATAAACATTTAATTTTGTGCTCAGATCCTAATAAATCTTACTGCATTGAATTAATCCACTAGCACCTGATATTTTTTACATGTGACAGTGCTTCAATATTGGGAGTTTATTATTGTTTTGGTGACACAAATGGAATGAATACTTGTTACTAAAAATATTTTTCTAGATTTCAGTATTTTCTAAAATACCAAATATATTTTAGAATATTTTTCTAGATTTCAGCCTTTCCATAATTATTTTCTGACTGCACACTATTTTTATGCACTTCAATGGGACACCACATCTGCATGGAATTTCCCAGGAAGCTCACACCACGCAGTATGTTTTGCTACCCCTCCTCAGACATTGTTTGCCATCGCTCAGTTTCTCTTTCCACTTTCCCGGTGTAGCATTTAAATATACTAAAATCCTCTTTATTCTAGTAGCATCACTTAAACCAGTGATGCAGAGGTCTTAATAGCTAATATTCTGTCACTCTTTCTGTCTCAGCAGCAGGGATGTTGTTACCTTTTTACACAGTCATAATAATGATGGAGTTACTGTTTAGACAGCAAATACAAAGGTTCATCCTTTTGAGAGACTCTAATGTACATGGGATTTCGACGTGTGTGAAATCACAATCCTAATCCTGTCTTCCTGCAGAGAAATGGCTCAGAAACAATCCAATGCAGACTATGTTCAGGTACCTAATGAAGAAAACATTCCTGCGACCACAGTTCCATCGAGCAATGCAACAATGGAATACCCGAGTGTTGATGAGACAACAGCCCCTGGAACACCTGAAAACAATGAGAAGCAAGAAGCAGAAAAAGAAGAAACAGCCTAGAGTTTTAATAGTTTTCCTTGTCAGCTTTGGACCCCTTTATACAAAAATTGTTGTCATTGAATTAACATAGAAGCGTGACTAAATCTTAAATGGGCATTTGAATTGTGAACCACTGGGCTGGAGATTGAAAAGGGTCTGTTACATGTGAATAGCAGAAGATTTGGCCTTTAAAGTTAACCAAATTTCTTTTATTATCTAGTTATAACTGTACAAAAATATGAGCATAAAAAGACCATCATCCACATTTATCCAACCTATTTTGCAAAAGTAATTAGGAAATTGTCAAAGTAAGAGTTTTCCAGTCAACTACCAGTCATGTTGTGTGTATCCACACAGTTCTGAACCACAGCAGTCTTCTCCAGAAACAGTGTTGGCCAACTTATTCCCTGTGTACTAAGAACAATTCTCATGGTCAGTACATTGCAGTGTTTAAAGGAACTGATTCTGTATGTCAGAAGTAAAAAGAAGTTACATCAATGTCATCAGAATGCAGAAACAGATGTTGAGACCTGGGCCAATGAAACCTTGTGTGTCTGAATTCCACTTAAATTAAAAAAAAAAAAAAAAAAAAAAAAAGATCCTGGAAACTTTTACCCTGTTGCTGCCTGACACGGAATACGTTTTGTTAACAGTGACATTCTTGGCTCCAAGTTCCCAAGGCACCAGCATTCCAGAGTTGTGTGTCTCAGCAGTTCTGGTCTTCAGTTTAATAGAACTGGCATTCAGGTACCCAGTTCAGACAACAAATGACTGCTTTCAAAACTTAGAAGTAATACTCTCTACTACACAGCACATGAGTTTCGATTGCTTCCTCTGCCTGAGATGATTTAAATGTATTTCCAGGCAACTGTCCTACCTACTGAGCAACAAACTCATGCTACTTTTCCTCTGGTTCTTTAGCCCAGTGTAACAGCCTGTTTTCTACAGGTGAAAGCATCAAAAGGAAAGGTAAGTAGTGCAAAGCACACCGAGAGCCAACAGTTGAGTAATGACCACTCTCTTGGAAGGAGAAAAAGGAATTGAACTACACACATGTTGATCACTAGACACCTCTTCTCTCTGGGCCTCATTTCTGAGGTTACACAAATTCAGTTTTTCAAAAAGCTTTTTCCAAAGATACCTACTTTCAGAAGAGCTCGGGGACTGTGGGGCTCAGGTGAATACAGACCCACAGCCCAGTGGCTCTGTTCTGAACTACACGAGGCAGGTCCTCACTGACTCAGGGAAACACTGGCTTCAGTCTCATGCACTGCACAAAAATGTATCTGGCTCAGGGATCTGGAACTTTTTGGCACTTAAACCTTTCATAGGACCTAACATGCATAAATCCCTTGGTGACTGTTCCTAGCCTGTAAACATTAGACATATGCAACATTCATCTTTAAAATTTCTGGGCTAACATTTTCAGGTTCAGTTCCTACAGCTCTAATTATGTTTATCAAAAAAGTGAGCACCAAAAAAAACCCCCAAAACCCAAAAACAACCAAAAAAAGAAGAAAAAAGGAAAAAAAGAGGGAAAAAAAGAAAAACAGAAAAAACATGGCAACATTTAAAGAAGATGTAAGGCATGAAGTCCTAGTTAAGAGTCATTTGGGATCTTCAAGCATAACTGTATTCATTGTCCTTTCCAACACAGTTTTCTGGCTTTCAAATATTTATCTTTGTTATGTGTGTTGTAGTGTTTAGCTTCAATCCAGAGTAAAAGGACACTTACGGTGTTCTTATACAATTTTAACTAAAAACTGCTTGTGCCAGACTGTGAGGGTCAAACCCTTGCTAATATCAACACTGCCATATTTTACTGGTGGATCCTCACATTCTTCTCTTCCCTAAATATCCAGGGTAAACCTTAAGTTTAAGTCATGATCTCCTTAATCAGGCAGCTCTTGTTGACTTTTGTGGCAACTGTACCAAGCAAAATCCGTAACTCATGTCCTTCAATCTGAGTTGAGCAGTTTAATGAGAAAGTCTGATATTGACACCCAAAGTTGTGTCAATATGCAGAATGATGACATTAAACATGCTCAGAAACAGCAAGAGAGAGACCACCTACTCCTGTTTGGGTGCTATTTCTTACCAAAGGTGTTTCCCCTTATTTGTTTCAAATCAATTATTAGTCTGAGGGAGCCCACGACTTGGCTGACAGCAGCAATAATTTAAAATAATTTCTTATCTGATATTCCTAAGTTTTCTTTTACCCTTCATGGGAAACTATAAACAACTGTCTTCATGTTACCACTATAGCTGTATTAGTTCTTCTAAAGCCTTCTTCTGTATATATGCATCTTAGCCACATTTTCCTTACTGCAACACCTTTCCAACTTCCACATCCCTGCAACAGCACTATTGTGATTGAAAAGGGGACTGTATTATGTGATCATTACCATATTTTTTTCCAATCTTTCCTTAATCTCACCTACATAAACTTATCTGCAGGTATGCCTTACACAACTTGCTGCAGTAAGATAGGAGCTTATGTGGGTGAAGTTGTAATTACCTTCTATAGCTAATACAATCTTCCTAGAACGTCACGGGTTTTATATTTGTTCAAAAAGTAGAAACTGCTCAAGTTACATTAATGTTTTTATATAAAACAAAAGAACAATTCAACACAAGTTCTTGACTAATGATTCCTCTCATACTTCTACCCATCAATGTGTAATAGATAGTATTAAAAATAAAAAGGCAAAAATAAGAAACAAAACAGGTTGCTGGGGGGGAGCAGGAAGGTAAGGAAAATAACATTTATTCAGAGCTTCTTAGCACATTGAGATGTTTCTGTAAGCCTTCTGGCAGAGGTTTGTTCTCATTATAAAGTCTGTAAAAGTTTATTAAAAAGGATGGGGCACTGTTCCTAGCTTTCTGCTGATGCTCTGGGCAAAGCACAATGCAAATTAGGTATTGATCCACAGTGTGTAACTCTAAAACCCTGCAGAGCCATGCAGGATACAGAAACATTTTTCAGAATTTGCCTTAGATATTCCAACAGTCTTTGCTGCATGGCCCATTTATCTTCTCCTGTGGGAGTAGGGATCATTAACATGGAAACCAGACACTCAGCCAACATTCAAGCTACCATCTCCTAGGGAAGTGTATTTACAAAGCTACAGAGCTGTGGCAGGGTTTTTTCGCTACACAAAGATCAAGGATGAACACAGAACTCTTTAACTTCAGCTGTTCTCAAATCAAATTTTCAGCAGTGCCTGTGCAACACCCAAGAAACATTTACTCAGTCAGGTTCCTCCTTCAATCAAGATCTGCATGGCCAGAGCTTACTGTACAGGCAAGTTATCCCTCCTGCTCTCAATGTGAAATTTCACCTGCATTTTGTGTTCTAAGATACATTTAAAGTCAGTGGTGAAGATATTTGGTTGTTTCTGTCTTGTTCATCAAAATAAATTGCATTGCCTTAATCCCTACAAGTCAAACTGTAGAAACTGCCAGCTTGCATTTCAACCTTGCCTTGAGGCTGAAGATCAAACATGTTGCATTCCCACACTGTGGAATGGATGGCAGAGTTTCATCTCATCTGCTGTTCACATCCCAAGCATACAAGCTATTTAGAAAACACTGGTTTTGCTACATACAGGTTCAATAAAGTTTTATGATACCAAAGACTGTTGTTTAGGAAAGTTCTTTATTTCACAGAATTTTATCAGCATCATTTGTTCAAGGGGAAATCTATCCACTGGTGCCAAAAGTGATCTTACCAACATCAGAACAGGTCACTTTTCAGATTCTGTCTCATTAGCTTTGCCTTCTAATAACTTAATATCAGGATTTGCTATGAGTAAATAGAGATTAAACCAGGCTTCTGTTATAAAACAAGATGGCAAACTGCAAGTGTCAGTGCTGCATATGGGAGTCTAAGAGAACAGAAAAAGGAACCTAGAAAAGGAGCAAGAGGAAAAAACATTAAATCTGAAGTATATCCCAGAGAATTATCCAGAGCCATCCATTATAAAACATTATATTTGCAGAGGTAACCCTGAAACTGCTGCTGCATTCTGCAAGCAATCCAGTGCACTTCATCAAATGCATGTATTTAAAGAGTCAGAGAAACAGAAGAACAACCAGTAACAACAAAAAAAGCTTTAAACACTCAGATCTCACTTGAATAGATCAAGAGTAACAAACATGGATACATTTATCCAAGCAACTGAGCAAACTGCATTCTACAAAGGGAGATAAGGTGTAGTTTAGAATCATCTGAAGAAAGACAATTCGTACCCACAAAAACTAAATACAATCCCACATACAAATCACAAAGGCTAAGGGAAGAAACAAAGACTCTAGGACAATCTTCCAAAATGAAACTGGCTTTAAATTGTTAAAGCATTTTTGGTCCTGTTGCTAGAAAGAAATAATTCTAAACTAAGATCTGACATACAAAGAATGACCACATTTATACAGATTGTACTGTAAACTGAAAGAAAACTGCAAGATATTGAAAAATACTTTAAAATCAGTGAACTATTCAATTAACAGGAAGTACAAACAGTTGTTTTGGCACTGCACTTGAAGGACAGCTTCAATAAAAACATTTTATTACCATGCTGATACCCACACACAACATCCTGGTTGAAATATCAAACTATGAAGTTTGCAGTCTTAAATATAAGTGCAACAGGAAAGAGGCTCAAGTGGGAAGCCCCCACTAGCCCTCCACCATCCTTTTAAGTATGGCTCCCAGGCCACCCTTTGCCACTTTCAGTGGGGTCAGCTCTTCTTTATTCTCAATGTGAATGCTTGCACCATGAGACACCAGCAGCTTTGCCTCCTCCACTCTCTCTTCATCGCAGGCTAAATGACTGCAGTGAGAACAAGAAACCCACAGCCACCATTAAACAGTCCAGGCTTATAAAGAGCAATAACTATGCCATGTCAAAATGACAGCACGAATTCTGGGGGGAGATACATCCTAGGACAACAAACCCACACACAACCAACTACCTACACTGACTCCAAAGCTTGCTGTCTAGTTACTCTGTTGTCATTAAGCAACTCAAGAACATTCCTCCTGCTGTTGTCCTTGCAATGTTAAGACAGTTCTTTGGATTAGGATTTGGCTCTGCAGTCAGCAAAGCAAAGGAGAACATAATCCACAGTGAAAATGGACAGTGGCAACCTCCATTTGAATCAAAAGTGATAAAGAAATCATCCATTGCTAAAAAACAATCTGAAGTAACGAGTCACTGCGAATGCAGCAAGCACTTTTTTTCCTGAGAATAACCGTGTGCATTCCAGGGCCATTCGGGGGTTTATGTTCAGCTTAAACACACTGCTTGATCTTATTCACAGCAAACTCTTGATTCCACTCTAAACAAGGCAGAGTTTTTCCACCAGCTTCAAAGCAGCTAAGGTTTTATCCTTACAGATTAAAATTGATCTC